AAAGCACAATAATTGACACGTCTTTCCTTCAAATATTGCCGCCATTGCATTTTTAGTGGAGTGTTAGCCCAAATCAATTTAATTCCCCCCTTCACTACCTCCAAAGCATGTCCTAATGCCGCTAATCCATCTTGTACACACAAATTTAGAATATGACATGCACAACGTTGATGAAAAAACCTACCCATCAATGTAGAAGCACCACACAATTCACGCAATCTAGGTATAGCAGCAGTATTATTACTAGCATTATCAAAACCTACAGCAAACACCTTATCAAGCAAATTATACTCAATTAAAATACGCTCAATGAGAATATAAATATTATCAGCAGTATGACGATCATTGAATTCACGAAAAGCAAGAACACGTTTATGCATATTCCAATCATCATCAATATAATGTGCAGTAAGACCCAAATAATATAAATGATGATAAGTATCCTCCCATATATCGCTACAAATACTAACACGTCCATTAAAGTTTGCGAAAAATGTTAGTAAATTTTCTTTTTCGAAGTTATATTGCCTTGTAACTTCTTTTTTAATCGTTTTGCGACTATAATTTCTAAATTGAGGATTTAAAGTACCTTGAGCATAATCTCTTAAAGCAAGACTTTCGGAAAAAATATAGGGTAGATTTTCTTCAACAATTAAATGAGACATACCAGTCAAATGTTTTTGATCATCATAGGAGAAATTACCAAAGGGTTGAGAATTTGCAAACCTCGATATTTGTGTTTGCTTCCCCTTGCCCTTGTCTATTTTCGCTTACTCCACAAGATGGGCGGACTTAAGATGTCTTGTGAGACTCCCGTATCCGCCAGAAGTTCCCAAGCTATACTCTTTGCCGCAATGATTGCAACTTGCGTACCATTTTTCGGTATTTTTGTCTTTCCTTTTTGTAAAATTGTTTTCAATAATAGGAGATTTAGATTTCTTACCAGTTTGGGTTGAACCGCCCTCGTCCTCCAAGTCTTGCTCATCATCCGGGGTGCCGTGAGTCCCGTCGCCCCCCGCGTCCTCCTCCGCATCGTCATCCTCGAGCTCCTCTTCATCAATGGTTGTCGGGATGGGTTGTTCTTGTGCAAAGTGTGGATCGTTTTGGGACAATAGGTTTTGTAGATGAGCGTCGGACATCATCATATCATCTCTCCGTTGGTAATCCGTTTCAAAATCATCTCGACTTTGAAAAGAAGACTCGGCCCGCGCTTTACCTTTGCCTTTGCGTGAAGTAGGACGAGTCGATGCAATCTCCCTCTTGCGGTTGCGTTGGAGATTACCCACATCTACAGAATGTCTACCACGTTCCATCTTTAAAATTGAACAAATATTAAATGATATCAAATATTTTATATGAGTACAATAGTAATAAAAAAAGGGGTTAGGTCATAAATAATACGAAGTACTAATTAGAAGGATATGGACAACTCTAAGACTTCTTTTAGTAGAGGACAAAAAAGAGACAAACCGTGCGGAACATTTAAACAACTTTAGATGAAAGATCAAAATGCCCCTACTGCTAATGAATATACTCCGTACGTGCGTTGTGATTTGTGAATCATAGCATTTCCATCTTCCAAGTTTTCAAAATGCCGCAACCATTTTCCACGATTAGAAAAATTGACCGACATTTATAAATTATTTGACCCCAGTGAGATTTATAATTATTTGACTCGTGCAATTACAAGTACAAATCCATCTACTTGGAATTACCTTCCCCGATCAGTTAGAATTATCCGACCAGTTACGATTACCTGATTGATAAATTATAATTATCCAACTCAATCAATTAAAATTACTTGATCCGAGCAGTTACAGTTACTCGGACCGTCCAGTTACAATTACCCGAGCCGACCAGTTATAGTTACTCAATCCAACCAGTTACAGTTACTCGGACCGTCCAGTTACAATTACTCGATCTGACCAGTTATACTTACTCGATCTGACCAGTTACAGTTACTCGGACCGTCCAGTTACAATTACCCGATCCGACCAGTTATGATTACTAGATCCGACCAGTTACAGTTACTCGGACCGTCCAGTTACAATTACTTGATCCGACCAATTACAATTATCTGATCCAACCAATTAGCTAGTTACAATTACCAAAACTTAATTACAATTATCTGATATCACCCGTTATAGTTACAAGCTATGTAGCACAGAAACTCTCGAGAAAGAGTACGTTTCCCGTTTCGGAAACTCTCGGAAACTCTCCAAATAAGCCTTTTTTGAGAAAAAATTGACGTTTCCCGTTTCCCGTTGCCTCATGATTTTCGCGTTTTCGTGCAACATAGGTTACAAGACCCAACCATTTACAATTACCCGACCCGGTCAATTATCCAACCCAACCTGTTGCAATTACCTGTTTCACCTATAGTTACTCGGTTTGAATAATTAAAATTACTCCCTTCCGTAGTGACCATCGCTACCCCCACTGTCAGAGACCACCACCAGCGGTAACCACCACCGTCGGCCACCGAACACCAGCGACGGCAGCGGCTCTCTGCAGGCACAGGCTCACCCCTCCCCTGCCTCCCCTAGCGCCGCTGGCCATGTCTCCAACCCACACCCCCAAGCCCCGCCACCTCTCCAGACCTTTCCCCAGCCCCATCCATGGTTGTCGTCGGCCCCGTAACACCAACCGCGGAATCTGCCAGCCCCAACCCTAATCACGCAATCTGGCAACCCCCCCCCCCCACGTGCCTCTACGCACCGCCGCCATGAATCATAACTACAGAAAATAGTGAGCACTCCAGAGAAAGGAGAAGAAGAAGAGGTGTTCGTCGATGTCAATGGCTCACCACCATCGCTGGAGCTCAGTGCAGCGCAGAAGTCATCTTCGTCGTCGTCGAAGGTGCGATGAACCGTTGCTGAAGCAGATCCGTCGCAGATCCGTCGCTAAAGCAGATTTGTCGCAGATCTGTCGCTGAAACAGATTCGTCGCTGAGGTCCGTAGCAGATGCACGCATTTGACTTAGAGAAGGTTGATGGATGCAGAGGGCGGAAAGAGAGACGGAAATAGGGATTTGAGGACGATTCAGACAATTGGCATCCGTTTAAGTCTCTTTTTTGTCTAAAACGTAATTAGGGTCTATTTTTGTCTAATGAAATCATGGGAGTCTTATTCTTGACATTATTTCATAATAAAATGTGACTAAGAAAACTATTGCAAATTCGAACTAAAATATGAGTATAAAAATCGAACTACTTCTAATTAATACTTTAATGAGAAATGTATCAATTAACTAAATATTAACTAGTTTGACTAATATATATATGAGAAATGTAAAAATTAACTAGTTTTTTTACTTTAATGAGCAATGTCAAATTAACTAATATTAATATGAGAAATGTAACAATTAGGTAGTTTAACTAATATTAATATGACAAATTTAACAATTAACTACTTTAGGTAGTTTTTAAAATGACAAATGTAAAAATTTACTAGTTATTTTTACCTTAATGAGAAATGTATACTTTAACTAATATTAATATGACAAATGTAAAAATGTACTACTTTTTTTACTTTAATGAGAAATGTAGCAAGTAACTAATATTAATATGAAAAATGTACCAATTAAGTAGTTTAACTAATATTATTATGACAAATGTAAAACTTAACTAGTTTTTTTTTACTTTAATGAGCAATGTATGAAATAACTAATTTTAATATGACAAATGAAACAATTAAGTACTTTAACTAATTGAAATATGACAAATGTAAAAATATACTACTTTAACTATTTTTTTCTTTAAAGAGAAATGTAGAGAAATGTAACAATTAACTAATTTAATAGATAAATGAGAAGTCTAACAATTAACTACTATTATAAGTAATATATAATATAATGTTTATAGTATATAATATATAAGTATATTACTATAAGATGAGTAATACACTTATACTTAATACTTTAATATATATATATATATATATATATATAAGTATATATTAACTAAATGTAATATGTAAATATAAGTAAATAACAATAGTATGTATAAAAACTAAATATCAAATAAATATGAATGTGTATAAGTATATATAGTATATATAATGTGTAAATATATTATAAGTAATATATAATATAATGTTTATAGTATATAATATATAAGTATATTACTATAAGATGAGTAATACACTTATACTTAATACTTTAATATATATTTATATATATATATAAGTATATATTAACTAAATGTAATATGTAAATATAAGTAAATAACAATAGTATGGATAATAACTAAATATCAAGTAAATATGAATGTGTATAGTATATATACTTATATAGTATATATAATGTGTAAAGAATTATAATATGAATGTGTATAAGTATATATTTATAAATAGATAATTAATATATAAGTAGATATAATAATTATATAAATTATATATATGTAGAAAGAATTTGGAGAAGATGAAGAATGAAGATGATTGAATATGAGAGATTTAGAGTAGAGAATTAGGGAGTAGGAAGAGTTGTAGAAGAAGAGGTGTAAAAAATGTAGAGAAAATAGGAGTTTAAATAGATTTTTTTTTATACCCCACCCCCCACCCCACCCCCACCCCACCCCCCTAACCCCAGACCCCCCCTCCTATGCTCCCAATGGCTATAGAGCCGTTTGGGAGCCTTCCCAACGGCTAGGAGCCTTCCCAACGGCCGGGCCGGTTCCCTAAAATGGAGGCCCGGGCCCGGACCGCTATACCACCGGGCCGGGTGGCCCGAACCTGTTAAGAACCGGTTGACCGGGCCGGTCCGGTTCCGGGCCGGTTGGCCCGGCCCGAGTCCACCCCTACCCCCCGCCCTTCTCTTAAATTTCTTCCTAATGGTCCCAAATAGTGAAACACAAGACCAGGACCCTTTTCCCGCCAGTCCAATCTCAGTCTTGGCCCGAAACCAGTCCCAATTCAAACACTGGGTGGTCCCAGTACGAGGACCTAAGACTAAGAGAACCCCTTGGATAAAAAAGAAGAGTTTATTCTTTCATTTATCCCATGTGATTTAAAAAGTAGGATGGGAATCACCAACAACTTTTGAATTATTATGCATTGCAAGACTCTTATTTCAAACTTTTATCTATTAATTGTACAGCCACAATACAGACTATTCATCCATTTTCATCTTAAGAACTATACTAAATTACACTATCAATGAAACTCTAGCAGAATAATGATATAATACAAAAGAAAACAAAGAGTTGATGAATTCAATCCTCATCTGCAACAAGTCGTTGACGCCTTCTGTCAAATACAGCCTTAAAAGACTCGTGCTCAGCCCGCAATTGTTCTTGGAACACTGCCCCCTGCCCCCTCCTTTTCCACTCATCACTTGACTCTTCTTCTCCAGCAGGGTTTGATTTCTAAAAAAAATTATAGCAACCCCAAAAAGGGGAGAACATACCAACACACACCATTAAAAATACAATCTTTAAACCAGGAGAGAATAATAGTACCAAATCAAGCATAAGAGCGCTTACCAAGTTGTACCCTGCACCAGGACCAATCACTAATGATACTTCAGCCGCTTTTGTTGCTCCTATTGAAAAGCCCACTTTAGCAACCTAGACAAGTAATAGCAACACCATATTACAGTGTCATAGAAAATCATGTCATGAATGATGCAAAACCATATAGAGAATAAGAAATACAGCTGTTATCATATGGGACACTGTAAATTACATTACCTCATCCCCCCACCGCACTGTTTTACCTTCTTTTCTGTAAGATTTAACCAAACCTGAGACATTTGACTTCTTTGAAGTATTTTCATTTTTTTGAACCTCATCCTCATCCAGATCAGTTGACCATTTACTCTTCCCCAAATCCTTCACCGAATCAATCGGGCGTTCTGGTTCGTTATCCCAGCCTAAAACACCTTTACATTGAACTAAATAATCAAACTCAAACAACATAATGGAATATGTCTTTTGAAGCCATATACAGCAATTAGCTATATATAGTTTCAAGGGTTAGACAAAAAAAAAGGTTGCATTATTTTCTAATACCGCCATTGAAATCTTGTTTGACCAATGCACAAACTTTTAGTTTTTTGTAAAATACAGCTATCACAAATAATTATACTTTATTGGCCAGTTTAACTAAATTTATCATATGCAACTTGTGAATTTTGATAGGCATTTTTTTTTGACAATTACATTAAAATTAGCTTCTTTTCATCAATCTTGTCTCTCTTCTGGAACATTAAAATGATTGAAATAGGTCTCATTTTTTGGACGTAGACAGTAAAATTCATAAATCCAAGATATGATACCCTAATTTGCTCAATTCGAGATGAAGTGGAGCACCACATGAATAACCGAGACATATAAAGACAGTTGTAATACGGTTGAATGTTGGAGCGTACGACGAAAAAGTTTTACCTTCCCACAATTATTTGGAAGGGGCAGGGGTAGGGGTTGCATGAGTGGTCATTATACCCTACAACTCATTTTCAAGATTGTTTTAAGCAATTTGCTTGCAGCTTATCTTTGCATGCACTTTTTTGGACAAAAATAAGTTGTTGACGTAAGACTCTTTTGGATGATAATAATTTTAATGAGAATGTAACATGCTCACTAATGAGCACATTATTCCATGTGGAAGTAAATGATTGGTTCTACATACTAACTAATTCAACATATTGTAATTCTTTTATATTAATTTAATAGGCTTATGTAACACATACGCTTAATATGTTAATCTTATTCCCCCTACATGCTCATTAGTGAGCATGTTACATGGTCATTAGTGAGCATGTTACATGCTCATTAAGTTATTGCCCTTTTTGATGGAGGGGTTAAACAAAATGCGGACAACACAAGTGCTCACAGCATACCATCTGAACAGATATCCGTTGGAGTTACTAAAGTACTCTCGGTATTCCCTTGTTCAGAAATAGATGATTCTGGTGTTGTATATCCATCGTCCATGTCCATTTCTACCTGGAAAAAGGATTTGCATGACATAAAAAATTAGATACAAGCAGATACAGCCCATGTGTTGTCTGTTCTTTTCTTTAACAAGTTTTTTAATATGTATGCTAATCAAACTATCTTGCCTCGTCTGTTCACCAGTTTTACTTGGGCTAAATATAGAATGGTAACTGAAGGAAGAGGGGCCTTGTTGCCCTGGTTAAGGTGTAACTGTGTGACCAAAAGGTCATAGATCCAAGTTTTGGGAGAGGCTTCTTGTCAAAATTTGACAAGGGAAGGCTTTCCCCCTTATACAGCCTTGTGGTGGGACCCTTCCCTGGACCCTCACCTTGCAGGGATTGCTGCCCCTTTATAGAAATGTAACTCAACATATTTTTATGTACTTAATGAGTCGTAAGCTAGAAGATAGCATGTAAAATGGGTCATGAAATTACCTCTTGTATCGCACCACGCTCAAGAGAGTCCCCGTGAAGTAATGACTGAACAAAAAAATACGTTTACAAAGGGTATGCAATTTAATAACCAAAAATACCAATACAAAGACCAAAAGTACCCATACTTAGCACTTAAACATCAAGCGTTTTAGAGATGGGAAATTGCAATACAAGAATAAGCAATTTTTCCAAGCTCGGATAGTCTGATTCCCCACCTCCTCCCCCCAAAAAACAACAAAAAACTCTTTCCTGCTACCAAGATAATAATTGCTTGAGATGCAAGATGACATTTAAACATATAACAAACCTTAATATCAAGTTTCAGATATATAGATGGAGCTTCTTCCCACTGGTCACTCAACTTTTGTATTTCATTCAGTGTAAAACCATGCACATTCCGTGCTGCACATCCCTGGAATACATGATAGAGGAGAAAAGGTATTCAATTTGAATATTGATTGGATGACTTTTTAAAATACCACATGCGATATATACAATTAAGCTAGTTAGATCCATGCCCAACACTGGGTTAGTGCACATCATCAAACTCATTACTAAGAGTTCAAGCATGAGGTTCGTAAACTCACCGCTGGGTCTGTGTATGGAGCTTCGAGTAAGTACACTTCATACCCAGATCTCTGAAATAATAAGCAAATGAATGAATAAAAGAATACAGCACTAATTAGTATTGCAAAATAAATAGATATAATAAGGGAAAATCAATATTAACCCCTGAGTTTATGTCATAATTATTAATGCAACCTTGCATTTTCAAAAATCAATTAGTTACCCCCTCACCTTTGATCATTCTCACTATATGCTCCCTCATGTTAATATTTGTTAAATTAAATTTAATACTCCGTATAACTCTTAAAATCAATGAAAATTGTCTATAAAATTAAATTTGAAAGTAAAATACAATTTATAATCATAATTATAAATCATTGTTCTTGATCGCTATTTTTGTACTTAGCTACTCGATCGTGGAATAAATATTAATGAAAGTAGTTAAGGTAGAAGACTCACGAGCTGAGTAATATTCATGAGATACATAAAAGAAAGTTGTTTGAAATATTGTGATCAAAATTCTAGACACATCTTCATCATGAATATAAAAGTCTTATTTGTAATTCATCCGGCAGAATTAATCTCAATGACATTTCTTTTGTGTGTAGCAAAGAAATATCAAGAAAAAATGTAAACTAGGATCTGAATAATTGTAAATAATGAACCTAAAAGATAGAATGTTTGATATAGGATCTGAATAAATATAAACTATCAATCTATCTAAGACCTAATATATATCATAGATTTTGATTTTTTTTATTAATTTTATTACTAATTTTTTATGATTTTTTCTTCGCAAAAAGTTTCAGTTTAATAAGATTGAATGATATTTATTTTTTTAAATAAAAAAGATAAAAATTCGTGATATTTTATATCTTACTCGTGAGTCTTCTCTCTTAACTACATTCATTAATATTTATTCCATGACTGAGTAGAAAAGTAAAAATATAACGATCAACAACAATGACTTATAATTTTGATATTAAATTGTACTCCCTCCGTCCCAATATAAAAGGCACATATTCCTTTTTGGGTCGTCCCAGTAAAAGACACATTTCCCTTTTTGGCAAACAAAATAGTGCAAAACAGTGTCCAACAGTGTCCAACAGTGTTCCTCCAAAAAATGTTTAAAAAAGCAAATGTGCTCTTTATATTGGGATGGAGGGAGTACTTTACTTTAAAATTTAATTTTATAGACAACTTTCATTAAATTTAAAAATTATATTAAATTTAATGTAACAAATATTAACGTGAGGGGGCAAACCAGTGATATCAATAGCGGCGCTATAGCGCGCTATAGCGGAATAGCGGTGCGGCAGACTAGGCAGGCGCTACGTGGAGGGCTCTAGCGTGGCGTTTGGGTGTAGCAGCCATAGCGCCCACTATCGCAGTGGTGCGGAGAATGTTATTGCGGTAACTTTAGCGTTTAATTTTTTAGCGCAGACATAAAAAGGGTAAACTAGACTTTTAAAACAAAATTTTAACCCACTTAAAACCCATAAACCTCTGCGATGAACCTCTGCGATGACTAAAAGCTCAAAAGGAAGCCAGCTTTTGAAAAGACTCAGTTGAACCTCTGCGATGACTTCTTCTCCAAGAACGACGATCATCTATCTCTGCTGCTCTGCGATGGCTTCTCTCCAAGAACGACACATGCTGACCTCCTCTGCCTTCAATAGTATCTTCTGCTGCTGTGCTGCAACATCTTCTTCTCCATCCTTTGCTGCAGACCTGCAGTCTGTCTTCTTTTCTTCTTCTTCTCGTATGGAGTCTAGTCAGTCTATTCTCTTGTTTAATAGCATCTTATGTTTTGCTCATGAAACTAAAGAGTATTTCTACGTAATTTAGGTGGGTGAACTATCTAGTTTCAGTAGTCTCTTCGCAGACCTTAGATGTACCTTAAAGGCAAAAGATGTACCTTACAGTAGTTAAAACATATGCTTCCAGTAAGGCAAAGAGTATTTTTTTTTCATATGTATGTATTACATATGCTTCCAGTAGTTACTTATCTATTACATTTGAAAGTAGTCTAAATAGCGGTCACCCCGCTATCCGCTATACCGCTATAGCGTTTTTGGGGCTCGCCGCTACGCTCCGCTTTCCGCGATTGACAACACTGGGGCAAACAGTGAGAATGATAAAACTCAGGGGTTAAGTAATTGGTTTTTGAAAATGCAAGGTTGCATTAATAATTATGGCATAACCTCAGGGGGCTAATAGTGATTTTCCTATAAATGTAAAGATATTACAAAACTTGGTGAGATGTAAATGAAAATAACTAATGAAACCCACATTACCAGCAAACACAAATAAAAAGTAACCATCGTATGTTTCACGATATTGCATATTGAGGTTTCAGTGTAAAAAGGATTCATATAAATTAAATTGACTTGTTTAATTGTCTGGTTGATAGACACTAACTGAAAATCCATTATTGGAGACAATCTTTCCTCTGTGATCTGCAAATCTTAGTGGGGAAACTTGTGGTAGGGACAAAGGATTGTAAATGCCATGCACTCGAAACAGTAGAGGATTAAATAGAACCAAATTTCAAACAATAAAACTAATCAGCTATATGAATGTAAGAGAATAAAAGAATATTTGTGTGGAGGATTGATCTCTTTTCTCTCCCTTTTCCTTTTATCTTTCTATTGTTCTTTATCCTTTTATCTTTTTTATTTTATACTAAGTATATATTATTTTTATCCTTTTTATCTTGTCATTTTTAACTTTATTTATATTTCTTTATCTTTATCTTATCCTTTTTATCTTATCTTATCTTATCTTTTTATGTTTCTTTTCTTTTTTGCTCTGCTATCATGTATCAATATAGATTCATGTTAGCAGAACCCAAAATCTTTTGGGACTAAGGCTTGGATGTTGTTGTGGTTTGTTGAAACACCAGTAAGGCGGTAAGTTAAAGTGACAAGGGTTTTCCAGATAACAGTTAAAAGAATAGAAGTACAGACTATTAAACCATCACTGAATCTGTCACATTACCACACAGTTTTTACCTAGAGAAAAGCTAATAGAAATGGATCAAAAGAGCACATTATAATAACTTTTATCCATTTGCAACATGTGCCGATGAAAATTATCTATAAGTTTCGTCAGTTCAAACAAATTTTGAAGCCCTTCATGAGTTCATGTAATAAAGCTTTGAAGTGGTGATTGCACATTCAAATATGGGCATGCAAATTATAGTCACCAGCATCAAATGTGGTAATACCGTAATATATGCATCCTATATATTTGACAATAAAATAATGGTATACAATAAGCATCAAACAAAGTTCTCTATATTCAAATTGTCCATCACTGAAAACCTGCAACGCTTATTTGCCATCACACGAGATTCTTTAACTAAACCTCAAGAGTGATACTTAACATGGGAACCAACTGTGACCATGTGTGGTTCACAATACCACATAAAGGTACATATGAAGGCGAAAAATCAGACCTTCATAGTATCCCACAAACAGATATACCAAGAACAGATCACATATACTGTTTGTAGGAAATCAAGAATTGAGAGTATACCTTTGCAGTTGCCCAAAATTGAGCAAAATCAGCTACCCGCAGATTGCGGTCATCCACTAAGATGAGGAACAAATACCAGCAAGAAATGGGTGAATTGCCGAACAAAACTGCATCTGTTGTTAGTAAACTGAAGGCAGTGCATTGGCACTGCATGACCACTTAATCTATCTTTGAACTTTTAATTTGACAATCTAGCGCAACTAAATGAACTGAACTCCTGAACCTGGAAACAACCTAAGCTATACTTTTTAACTTTGGCCATACTTTTTATGGAAACCAAAAATACATATTCGGGGTTTTGCAAGGACATATCCTGATTAAGGAATAGATCAAAGCTGACAATATCTACAGCTTATGTAAACTAAAAAAATGGAATGCAAGTGGGACTTGTGTTAATTACTTGCAGCAAACATTCAAAGAAATCCACATAAACTTTCAGAAATGCAAACACTTTATCCATAATCCAGATGAGAAGAGAGCTTAACACCAATAAAAGAAAAGATAGCTATAAGCTCATTGAGATTTTTTAAAACTACACATGTAAGAGAAACACAAAAACTTTTACACAACGCACCAAAAAACCATACCAATTACAAAGGAGAAAGCTCCATCATCAAGGGTCTTCTTAAATGCCTTCAACATGCTTGACCGATAAGCCTACAAGGAAGTTATGGGTTATGATATTGAATACTATGAGAAGTGTTGCAGGATATCACTACAAATAAGCATGCTAAACAGGGGAAATCATATTTCTATCAGAGACAAAACGTAAAATAACAGTGTAGCTATTTAATATACAGGAGTTGTATATGGATAGTTTTAAAACTAGATTGTTCAAAAAATGATATGAAAAAGCAGCTACGCATGGCATAGGTTCCTTTACTAAGAGTTATAACATCATGCAAAGCACCTAGAATTATGAAATATGATAATACACAATTTTCACCGAAATAAATAAAATTCAAAGAATTTGACAACAGCACCAACAGGCATTTAAGGTATCTTAATCTTGACCCTGTTTCACGACCTTCTCATAAAGATTATATGTTCACACAGGCACATGTAATCATGCATACGTAATTATGTATAGATACCCTAGCTTTGCATCTAGATATTAAAACAAAAACTTTATACAGAAAGAAGATATTTGGACCAAAACAAACATACAAACAAATAAAAACATGAATCTGGCAAAGTTTCTATCACCTCCTCCATTTCAGGTTCATAGCAATACTCAATGACCTTTTTTATCACAGACTTTTTCCCTTTGGCAGAGCCTGCAGACTTTGAAGCATCACTTTCATCAACCTGCATATAAAAAGTACTCATATATGTTACACAACCTATTGAGATGAATATTCCATTAACTAACAATAAAGAAAATGGTATGTGGATACTCAATAATGGCAAACTAAGTTGAAATCTTATTCTAAGAATGATTATAAACTTGCACAAAACAAAGACCTTTTCAACTTCAGTCATAAAGTAATCATCTATCGAGTGAATTCGTGGGGCATTACCACCATTCTCTACCTCAAGGTCACGCAACATTCTTGCCAAATGGCTCTTTCCGCTACCTGAAAGAAGAACAAGATGATGTTAACTACCAATTTGACTTCTAAGCATGCCCGCAATAAAAACACATCGTACAGTTGGCAGAATTGCCAGATATAACTAAAGTTTTACACAAAATGATGTTTACATGTCAGCTAATGTTACAATCTGCCCAATGATGGTCAACAACAATGCCACTAGGTTAACAAAGAATATGCTCGCCGCTCACAAACACAAGTGCATGAAGAGATAAGCGAATAGAATAAGAAAGATTGCTACACTAAAAGAGGGAAAAAAGGATACCTGGAAGCCCCCGAAGAATTACAACTATAAGATCAGGCCGAGTAGCTCTATGTGGATGCTTCAAAATGTGAAAAGCATCTATAGTAGTAGGCTTCTTTAAAGATAGATGCCTCGAAGTATAGTTTTCATTTTCTCCAGACACAATCCTTGATGGAGCATAGTGCAAAGTCTGAAGTTCATGAAAGGCTGAAGTGTTAACATGAAGTGAACACTAGGACATGACTAGCAGTCTAGCACTTTTTTAGGATAAAAAAAAGGAAGCAATAGAAGTGCCCCTTATATGGATACTGTATTCTTTAACAGATCCCTTCCCTGTTCCCCAGACCCCCCCCCCCCCACCATCTACCCAATTTACACCTCTGAACTCCCAACAAAAAACAAATCAGATTTGAATGGAAACGAAGAATGTGGGTAAGGAAATACAGTTACCATGTAAATTTAGTGAAGCAATGAACAGACCATTATATGCCCATTTGTGGGTGTAAGGTTGAGATCATTTTTTAGAATTGAATATGAATTCAATTGGACAGAATAAACAAATCCATTAAAATTTTGCTGGAAAAGTGAATGAATGACTCGCTCACATAAAGAATGCTTACTAAGATCATGACAATCACAGGTTCACACTTCACAGCCTATCATATTAATATATGGAGTATAAAGGATGTCTCATTTCCAACTCAAATGAAGGCACAAACTCATATATCTGACAATTTCGTACCATAGGTAACTACTATAGGTAACTTCTAAACTTTTTTTCCTTTTAAAAACTACTACTGATCTGAACATCCTATGTACATGGAAACTCCAAACGGCATTTCCACTCATGGAAATCCGGCTGCTAAAGAGAAATATTACCCTACTCACCCATTGAACAGGTAATATTTTGAAGTATTTATTAGATGGGAGGAATAGCAAAACCTAAATTGGATACATACCTCTACACCAAAGCCAGCAGGAGACTTTGAATTCCCATTGGCATGATAGTAGGCTGGGGCTGCCTCAGTGCCTGGGAGGTAGGGAGGCAAAGAAGCTGATGTACCAGTAACAATGGGAAATAATGAAGAGGTTGTTCTTGATGGCGAAGAGAAAACAGAAGACTTTAAGAAAGGACGACCAAGGGTTCCTCCAGGAAGAGGTGGCGGTGATGCATGAAGTGGAAGCTGGCCAGGAAATCCTGCTTGGCTCCTCGTTAATGCTGAACCGTACTGATTTTGTTTTGGGTGAAAATCAGAGAATGGGCCATTACTGTGACTTTCTGATGTAAACCCAAAAGAACTTTGTTCGAGCTGGATCATACTCCGCCCCTGGTCTACATTATTGTAATTATTAGCTGGATAATTGCTAAACCCGTAGCCATTACTCTGAAGCAAATCCTTATTAACTTGTTCACTACTAGGCATCAGCTCATAAAATCCCTGTTTTCTGTCGCAATGCCTCGAATCAAGAAATTCAAGAGCGCCTTTTTCATGCCCTTCAAAATTCTCAAGATCTCCCCTGCTTCCACTATCTTGATCCGTTGGTCCACCATGATCACGGATCAATTTTAATCTCCTCTCATCATCGACAGAAAACCTAGCCGATTTCGCATAACTTTCACTCACTAGAGCACGTGAGTCATCAGAACGCATTCTCTTTGCTCCAGCAATACCATTAGGAACATTATCTTTTGAATGTAAATTGCCACAAGGATCGCCATTAAAATTAACACCTTGGTTCCACTGCGAAGGATGAGCAACATAGCCATCCACGTATGGACGGTGAGGATGCATTGCGGTGCTGCTTTGGTGATCGACAAATGGGTCGTAAGCCGGCTGCGGCGGTGCTGGAGGTGGCTGTCTATGGTAGAAGTGGCCTGGATGTGGCTGGCATTGTAATCTAGGTTTGGAGGGGTACATAGCCTGCAGATGGCAAAAGGGGAAGTGAGGGTAGTAACAGACCGGGCAGCGCTCGCCTTGCAAGGGAGGGGGTTGTGACGGTGGCGGTCGCCATGAATAAGCCATCTTCTATCTTTCGACCTTTCCTCTCTCAATTGCACAGTTTTGAGAAATTGCGAGTCATATTTTGGTCTGGATTCCGTAGTTTGCACAAATATGGATTTTGGATTCGATAATTAGTTAATTACAATTAATGGCCAAGATATTACTTCCAAGGTTTGGGTGGACCCAAATGTGACCAATTTTTGAGTTGACAAAACAATGACCCAAATACTTTCGTATACTTGCAGTCCATCGAGGAATTCACCCGTAAGCATCTCCTTCATCTACATTGCACGCAGCCACAGGCAAATTATACCGTGGGATCGGCCCACCGTGCGCACGGTGTGCCGATCCCAAACGGCGCCGTTACGAAAGCTCTGCGATTTCCGATTTGTAAAGCCGTGTGATTTGGAGCCGGAAGAAGCACCCCCTACCAAGCTATATCGATGTTTTCTCTGCAAGCTTCTCGGCATATCGACACCTCTTATTGTGGAAGAGAAAGCTCTGCTACAAAGCATCTGGAAGTTGCCTATCTGCTCCCAACCGTCGATCGATTTCAGCATTGGAGCCGGACTGGGAGTGACTGCCTGACAAGGGGATGATGATTTCAGCTTCTGGCTCCTAAAGCAGGGAGTGGGTTTTTGCATCGGGATAGCCATCCTTGGCCTATCCAAGCTATTGAAACACAATTTGAAGTCCTGAAACGTAGATTTGGATCAAGTGCTATCTTCAAACATAGATTTACATAGGCTTAAAAAAGTTACATTTTTATCAAAAAGATTTACATTTCAGTTTATCTAAAGTTACATATCTTTTGGTTTGAGTTACATTTCAATTTTTTTCAATAAGTTACATCTTAGTTACACTTGATTTACATTTGATATAATGCGAGTTACATCACAAAACAATACGAGTTACACAACAAAATCATTTTTATAAAACAATCATTTTTAATGGCTCTAATATTAAAAAAAACATATGCGCTATTTATGTAAAATAATTTGACTTCTTTTTTATCATTATTTACATTTAAATCAAAGTTTACGTCTTAACTATGTATTTGACAAAGTTACATTTCGACTGGACTTGATTTACATTGATCAATAACGTGAGTTACATATGTTTACATGTGAGTTACATCATTCATGCTACTCGGGCAAAAAGAAGGAAAAAACCGTTACTGTACACGCGTGTACTGTTCACGCGATTTTTTTTTAAAAGATTGTGCAAAACTACGTCGTTTTGGGAGTGGGAGCATGGTGCTCACCGTGGGATGATCCCACGGTATAGGAACTGGCAGCCACAGATGAAGGAGAAGACCTAGCCTATGTTTGGTGGGTATAAGTCTTTGACTTCTAGCTTTTGTACTGTTCAAAAAGTTTCTAAAAACTTCTAGTTGTGTGTTTGGTATAACAATATTTAAGAGCTTTTCAAAAATTAAAAAATCTTTTTAGAGATGCTGCCGGAGTAGCATCTAAGAAAAGCTAGTGACTTTTAGTGTTAATTAATCCTAACAGCTTGTATACCAAACCGAACTAAATCAAACAGTCAGCTTTTTATCAAACAGTTACCACCTTTTCTTTTTAAGATCTTTTCAGTCACTAAAATCTAACAGTTATTAAAAAGCTCACAAAAGTATCTTTTCAGCTAGTTGTGCCAAACATGCCCCTAGCCCAAACCTCTTCTCCGCCGCTCTCCTAGCGTCACCGCCACAATCCTAGTGCCGCCTCCGCCGCCGTACTCCTGTCGCCGCCTCCCGTAACTCTTCTTCTTCCCATTTCTTCTTCGACCGATTGCAACTGAATCCCGCTAGTTTCTCCGCCGCCTATAACCGGACTGAAATCGATAGTTTCTTCGTCGTATTCGATGGATTTGCCTTTTCTGCATCTGTCTTCTTCGATGGAGCTCCGCCAGTACCGGATCTGCCATCCTCGATGGTCATCGACACCGATTAGGGACTACCGGTGCCGGATCCGCCGTCGTTGATGTCAGAAAGGGGCCTCAATGAAGGTCTGACGGGGGTGGGGCAGGGGAGGGTGCTGGGGATAGGGAGTACGAAGCTAGGGGATGGGTGGGATCTGGTGCGTAGGGTTAGGGGAGGGGAGTTGGGGCTGGTACGGACTGGTGCGTAGAGCTAGGGGATGGGAGGGGGTTGGGGACCGGAGTAGGCGATTAGGGGCAGGGGAGGGAGGATGGGATGGGGCAGGGATGATGGCGGTTGTGCACAAGACAGAGCGGCAGTAGTGGATGGGGCAGCGGTGGTGGCTAGGGACGGCTAGGGGTGGCTGTGGCAGGCCGTAGTGTTGTTGTTGGCGGTGAGGCACCGGGAAACTTTCTGGCATTCACATTGTTGAGGGTGGCGGCGGCGTCACTAGAAAATCTGTGTCACTAGGAACCGGCGGCGTCACTGTGACGACGTCATTGTGGTGGCGTCACTGCGGCGGCATCACTGCCGCAGTGACACGGGCGGTGGCCGCAGTGACACGATCGGTGGCCGCAGTGACACGGGCGGTGACCGCAGTGACACGGGCGGTGGCCGCAGTGACACGGGCGGTGGCCGCAGTGACACGGGCGGTGGTTACAGTGACACGGGCGGTGGCTCAGTGACATTTTATAGTGACATTAAAAACAATAGTGACATTAAAATCTGGGAATGACATTAATATGACTTTCTTGATCACTTTTTTGGTAATTGGTTTGAAATTAGTAATATTCAAATAAAAATCCCTTTTGGATTCGATAATTAGTTAATTACACATAAAAATCAATAATTGTTCAAGCTAAATTGTAAGTGTTATTTGGGAAATATTATCAAATAATCCATCATATTATTGTTATATCAATAAATTCAATTAATCTCTCGAATTAAAAAAATATTCAAATAAAATCACTAAAAATGCTCATATTTATAATCTAATAGATTAATTAGATTAAGGGCTTGATTAACTTTTTTAGAGAAGGTATGACGGTAAAAGAAAGAAGTAGGAGAAAAGGAAGTACATTAAAATAAGTCACCTAGAATATCATGTAAGCACCTGATTAATTGGGACTTAACCTACTAATTTATACTTTTGAACATCTTTTCTCAATTCATGGTCTTAAAAGAGTCTTTTTTTAATTCAAGGGCTTAATTAACTTTTTTGATATAGTATGAGATTATGTTTGACCGTTTCATCCTTTATTTTTGAATTGTATGCAAGGTATTTACATGGTTTTACACATTATTTTCCGCATTAGCATAAAAAAGTTTTGCATGACATATACTATGAAATACTTCATATATTTTTTCAAAAAAAAAGTCCTACAATTTTCATGAATAATCGAAAGAAATAATACAAGTTATTTACTTTTCAAAGTATCCCATTAAAAATATTTTAAAGATTTTTTAAGTTACAACAAATGTACTCCCACAAAGGGCACTACCTTCTCTCGGGAGTAATAAAGTCTCATAGCACTTGTTGAAGTTTAGCTTCTATGAGCACCATATACAGCCGAGAAATGGTCCTAACTAGGACCAAATTTGAGTTTAGGTAACCGAATAGGAGCGATTACTTTTTAACCTGTAAATAGGACTTAGTTAATGTGTTCAGGCTTATTTACCCCTGCTAACTTAATTACAGAGTACTTCTTTTCTTCCTCCTAAGCCAATCTCGCTTCCTCCTCGCTCCTCCCAACGAAGCAGAGTGAAGGTTCAGAGAAGCCGACAAAGTAGAATAGGACGACTGGGGCATAGTGGCGTTGCAGCTTCAAAAATTAAGGGCGCAGATTAACTTTAGAACTTCAGTTGCCGGCAAACAAAGACCATCCGGAACTCACCTCATTGGCGAATGCCCATCGGACTGGATGGAGGGCTGGAGCATAGCGCGGCGCTGTAGACATAGCACTATAGAGAAGACCCCCTACCGCCGTCAGCAAAACGAAGTATATATGACGGTGTGGCAATCGCGGCGGAAGCCCCTGGTTATTGGTGAAGCTTCTTCTTTGTGAATCTGCAATCAATCCTGTCAGTGCGGTGCATCTGGGATCGATTGGGGCTACTCAATATATTTTCCTACTTCTTTCCTTCCTATGCACCTTTCTTTGTGGATCTGCAATCGATTCTACTTGTCCTTTTCATTTTCTTTTGATGCTTCTATATCCTCTATATGCCAATTTTGTTTTTCTATAGTGTTTACTTTCCCTAGTTTTGCACTTTTGCATTTCTTGAATTCAAAAGAAAAAATGATTTCCGTATAATCCTTCCATCCTTCTGTCCTGAGAATGAATAAATACACATATAATTCATGAATCAAGCCACACATCAAGAATCTAGCCATACATCATGATCAACCCATTTATCAACCCCAAATCCCTAATTAAACTACTCACAATCAACAGAATTGGGAAGAATAGAATTAATTGTCATTAATTAAAAAGATGAACTTACAAATAATCTCAAGGTCTTGGAGTAACCAATGATTAAAAAAACGCAAGTACTTTCGTCCCTAGGCCTCTCCGTAATGTTCGTAACACTTAAACAGGAGAAAGGAAGCCTTATAGAAAGCAGATGAATTCAGACAGAAGTGGGACAAAAATGGGGCACACTCGGCGCCCACGCTTGGAGAGAATCCGGAGCAACTTTGCGTAAAACGGGGCCACGCTCGGCGAGCGTTCCTGCATGCTCGGACGAGCATGGAAGGCAGCGGGCCGGTACATGTTTCTTCCTCAGACACGGCATGCCTATCTCCCAAGCACGATGTGCCTATCTCCCAAACACGACCGTGCCTATCTCCAAAACATCCTTCATGAAAGTTGTAGTTAATGAAGTCCTCTATGCACCACAACTTGCAAAATAGGATTTGAATCATCCAATCAAAAGATATGATTAAAATGGTGGAAGGCCTCATTCTGAAATTGCAATAGGGATCATCTGACTTCATCGTCTATTTTCACATTTCTCTTCTCAGATTATCGGAATGGTGTCCTCATGTGATTTGTAGCTCTTGAAGTTGGCTTTCATATTCAACTTGAATCGTGTCCTTTAGATGATTCTACAAAGAGATATGATTGAACGATTGACAGAAGGTCATCCTGATCGCCGTTTTCAAGCTATATACGTCTTCTTTTGATCTCATAGCCAATCTTAGAGCTCTTTTGTCATCAAATCTTCATTGTAAACCTCCCGGTGACCACCAAAGCTCCCAATCCAATCTAGAATGCATCTCGAATCATCCTGATTGCTTCTCAAGCACCGGTGCTGAACTCTACATTTCTAATTTTGACTCCAAATGACGCAAAACTCGAACCAACGCCTGGTAAACATAACTTGAGCTAAAATTGAGACTTGCAACACCTTAAATCTAGGAAAACCATCAAAAGCCGATCCCAACACACATCAAATGCGTGTCAAAATACGGACTTATCATGGTCCCAAATTTTAAACCTGTATGTTAGGCACATAAGAGATCAAAACTGAACGGAATGAGTTTCAGTCCTAATTACTCCAGGCCCCCATCCCCTCCCCTAGACCCTCTGGAGTAAAAAGAAGAAAAAGAAAAAGGAGGATGGTGATTAACCGCGACAGCAGCCAAATGGTGAGTCGGTAAGGTATGCGGCGATTATATCGCAACAGATCGACAAATGAAGAGAAGACCATCGGCGGTGATGCATTGACGACCAGAGATGGCAATGCAAACACATCTCGCGGGCGGGCGGCATTGCAGAGATAACCAGCGGCAGTGGTGACACGTATGGGCGAGGATTATGAGGATTAGAGTCGCTCGCAAATCCAAGATAGAGATGGAGATGAAGATGAGTAGCCGCTTGAAGATATCCAATGCTCGCAGATGACGATATGGAAGTGCGAAATAGTGTGGTCACATGTATGTCAATATCAGATTTAGTCATATTTTTGTCTTTACAAACTCTAGGAGTAATATTGAGGTCATTTTTTCATAAATGTGCACATGTGCACCGTGCACAATTGGGCATTAAAGATTCTATAAATTAAAGTTGATTGTGTAATTTCTATTGATCAGTATTAGTGATATATTCTTTTGATATGACATCAAAAGTGTTATTGAGCCGTTGCATTGCCCTTCACTTGGACTTTCTTTTTTATCGTCAAACTGAAAACTTTATACTAAATCAATAAGTCATTAGCCAATTGGCTAGAAATACAAGAAGGCGCATAATCATAATCAACTACTTGATCTGAGATGTGAACATGTGACTTAGTTAAAGCGTGAGCCACATGATTCACAGATCTTTTACAAAAAGAGATTTTAAAAAGACTATTTGTTGCTAACAAACTACGTATGTCGTCAATAATAAGGTGAATGTAAGCCGATCCTTCCTGTATCTTTAAGCTCTAAACCACTGGAAGTGCATCCGTCTCTATTTCCACATGTGTCTAGCCCGCCTCGATAGCTCCCATAATAGCATCCAGACCCCCATCGCTTGTGTCTCTTCTGTTGTCCATCTGGCTTTGCACCCTACCCCTCGAGCCTTAACCACGGACTCCTCCTCATTCCTAGCCACCCAACCCCAAGCACGGGTACCCCCCGTTTGATTAACCGCCCCATCCACATTTATTTTTATTACCCCTGGCATAGGTCTTTCCCATTTAGCAGCCCCCTCCCCTGCCGAGGCAGGCCCCCTATTCGTCGGAACATTCTGGGCATCCCGCCAGGCCCCAAGAACACTATCTGCCACTTGTACCACCGTTGTGGCTTTCACATCTTGGTCTTTCCAAACCGCTCCGTTTCTACCTTTCCAAATACTCCATAGAATGGCTATAAATCGGCTAGAAAATTCTCTCCCTGGCTGTTCTAAGTTTGATCTCACCCACTGGCCGAACGGAACCAGATGGCTATTTATTCGAACGCCTGCATGCTGCCAAATATGCTCCACCTTGGGACATGTACGCAGGGCATGATCATCGTCCTCATCCCCTAAACCGCAAAGCTTGCATCCTCCAACAATGAGAACTCCTCTTTTTCTCAAATTGTCCACCGTAGGCAAAGTACCATCCAACACTTGCCATGCAAAGTTTTTAAATTTTGGTGGAATATTCAACTCCCATAGTATCTTCCATCCTTGACATGCACCTTGGTGTAAGTCACCCATCAAAATTTTATAACAGCTTTTAACAGGAAAAAATACCATTTTTCTCCCCTACCCACCAAAAACCATCCGTTCGGTCCTACAGACTGATAGGAATGCTCAGAATTTTCTCTCTATAGCTCGGATTAAATGACCTACTTATTCTCTCATAATTCCACTTCCTCCCCGTACTATCTCTCAGAGCTGCCACATTCATATCTCTGAGATTTGCCGGTTTGTTAGACGTAATTCTTCCAGCTTCTGAACCTGGAAGCCAGGCATCTGCCCAGACTTGAACATCAATGCATGTACCAACTCTTCTTCTCGTATTTGATTTTATAATCTCCTGTGTCTCAAAAATGCTTCTCCAGATAAACGAGGGATTGTTCCCTAATTTAGTTGCAAGAAAAGATGAATTCGGGTAGTACCTGGCATGAAGAACCCTGCTCATCAAGCTTCCTGGTTCAGCCACAAGTCTCCATCCCTGCTTTGCAAGCATAGCAAGATTAAATTCTCTTAATATTATGAACCCCAACCCCCCTGAAGCTTTTGGTCGACACAAAGAATCCCACTTCCTCCATCGTAAACCTTTCTGGTCAAATTTAGACCCCCTCCACCAGAAACCGTTCATTAATTTCTCCACCTCGTCACATAGCTCTTTAGGTAGGAGGAAGACGTTCATGGCGTATGTTGGCATAGCTTGAATGACATTCCTCAATAAAACTGCTCGGCCTGCCCGGGATAGAAATCGATTATTCCATCTTTTAATTCTACTCAGAATAAGATCCTTCAAACATCCCAAATTAACTGACTTGTTTCGCCCAATTAGCGCCGGGAGTCCCAAATAGAGACCCTGTTCGCTCTCTCTCGGGATGCCCAATTGGTCACTACAAAAATCTTTGAAAGTCTCTCCTACGTTCTGGCTAAAAGCTAAAAAAAGATTTATTAAAGTTAACCATCTGACCTGACACCTCTTCATACCTTGATAGGATATTTTTGATCGCTGCACATTCACTTGCCAAGGCCTTGAAAAATAAAAGGCATTCATCTGCAAAGAAGAGATGTGAAACCCGAGGTGCCCCTCGGCAAACAGACACCCCGTGAAGCACCCATGTACTCTCGGCCTTCCGTAACATAGCACTGAGTCCCTCTGCTACTAAAATAAATAAGTATGGTGATAATGGGTCACCCTGTCTGAGCCCCCTCTTTGGAATGATCGGCCCCAAGTACTCCTTTATCAAACTTAATGTAGTAACTAGTAAGTCATCGTAGTAACACAGAGCATAATGATATCCACCCATCTCCCGCTAAAGCCCATACGGTTCATAATCTGCCTTAGATATACCCAGCTGACTCTATCATAAGCCTTGCTCATGTCTAATTTAAGAGCAACATACCCTTCTTTCCCTGAATTCTTCCGTTTTAGGTAATGTTGAGTCTCAAAAGTCACGATGATATTATCCACAATAGACCTTCCCGGAATAAAGGCACTTTGATTCTCTCCAATCAGATTCCCCAAAATGCCTTTAAACCGATTAGCAATTATTTTGGAAAAGATTTTAAAAATCATTTTACATAGAGCAATCGGTCTCTAATCTCCCATACTTTTAGGTTTATCCTTTTTAGGGATCAACACAATGTTCGTCACATTTAATTCACTAGGCATAGTACTTGTTTCAAAAATTTGAGAGCATACCCGTGTCACCTCAAGCCCCACCACATCCCAAATTTTTTTAAAAAAAGCCGGGTTCATGTCGTCTTATCCCGGAGCTTTTTCTGGATGCATATAAAAAACAGTTGCTTTCACTTCCTCCGGGATAATTGGTTAGAGACCCCTTCACTTGGACTTTAAAACATGTACTTCTATTTGACACAAATTAATTTTTATTAAATCATTAATGTTATAACAGATATGAATACATGTCGATAGTATATATGTAATGCAATGATGGTAAAACCAATGATACATATTTTTATTGGTGCACTCTTTTTAGTTACAAGTATAGATGTATAAATATAAAATATATTCCATTTTCATTATACCACGCCTCGGACTACATTAGATGCCCAATAGATTTATATTGGAATTTTCTTATAACTAATTAATATAGCTATTACGGAGTATGAAATATATTAATTTAGATGAGAGAATTGCAATTTAGCCTCGTAACTTTTGGTTGTGCCCGTTATTAGTCCTGTAACTTTACTGGGTTGTAAATTTGGTCTTTAAACTAATAAATCTTTACAATTGAAAGACTTTTTCACCAAAAGGAATATTTTCCGGCAGACAATTTGATGCTGGCTGCAACTTTCCCGTCGAATTTACGGTAAAAACTGTACTTTTGGTGGAAAAGTCCTTAAATTCCAAAGATTTATTACTCACATGATCAAATCTGCAACTAGGTAAAATTACAGGACTAATACAAGCACATGCAGTGGAAAGTTCCAGAACTAAAATTACAATTCTCCCTGATTCAGATCAGAAATCCAAGATCCATGCATGGGTACGTGATGGTCTCATTACGGTAACTCTGAATGCAGTTGGGATCTTAGACGGTTAATCACATCCTTGTCTAACAGGAACGCTTTACTTAGAACCTCAGGAAGAATTGGAGGATCGCTTCCAAAAAGTCCTTCAGGTATATAGACGGGATCTGGGTTTTGGGTCCCAAAAGCAGCAAACACAACTGCATTGCCCCCTCCAGTGTTGTACACAAAATGAATGAGCCCTTTCGGCACGACAAAAATGTCTCCGGGACGAAGTGTCTTGGCATACAATTTGTTCCTTGAATCAATGAATCCCGCATATAGTGTTCCCTCAAACACTACGAAGACCTCGCTTCCTAGAGGATGGGTGTGTGGAGTACTAAGTCCATATGGTCCTAAGTCCACACGCCCTATTGCAACACCCAATGTATTTAGTCCTGGTAGTTTGTCCACTGTGATTGGCGTCGGTGTGTATCCTAACCGATTTGATGTGTTTTGTGGGATGTAAAACCGCGCTTGCAAGTAGAAATCATCAGCAGTGACTTCCGTTATGTTCTTGCAAATCCTTCCATTCACAAACACTACGAATGCAACGTAAAAAAATATTGAAATAATATTGAATTGCATTTCATAATAAAAGGAATAAGTGAGGGTATTCAATCATGGCATTATTGGAGTATAATAAATTTGTTATTTAGGAAAATGAAATTTTATTATACATTTTACTTTATCAGATGAAGAGATGAGAGTGGGTGATTAAATGTGTACCTGTAGCCTCAGAGTCCTTGACAGCCACACAAAAGTCTTGCAACATGTCGGGGTCTGCATGAGCGAAAGGAGAAGCAGCCAAGGCTATAGCTCCAATACCCAGAGCTATGATGAGCGGCATACTACGGCCCATACTTGATTTAGTTGGAGTGTATATATATGTGATAGAAAGAGAACGCTTATTTTCAATGAAGTTTGAAGGAAATGAGAAATGGACCGAGGGTTATTTATAGGTACTAAATGTAAGGCATAAATAGCTGATGAACCTAACTCAAAAATGTGAAATGGTCCATTTCAATCACCTCACACCCTAAACAAATTTATAAGCCTTAGGTAACTTAACCCCCCCCCCCCCCCCCCCCCCCGTTTTTTTAGTATAAACAAATGTTTTTATTTAGCTCACCCCGCTAATGTTTAAATCTAGTACAATTTTTCTTCAACCCAGGACATCCAATATTCCTGGATCCGCCCCTGCTAAACATCATGATTAGAAAATGCTTAGGGTGGAATCATCGATGGCTAATTCTATTCAACGCCTTCAATTTGCTATTCACATCCACCAACTAATTATTAAATAAAATAAATCATTAAAAATAATCTAACCCTTTAATAAATTAATACACTCAATTATTATCATAAATTTATAATGATTCAACACACTTTGTTTATAATCACTACATTGTTTATTAATATTAATCATTTAAGTCCTTAACCATATTTTTTTAATTGTAAATCTCCAACCATATAATTTATATTATTATTAATACTCTGTATGTATCATTATGTCATTCATCTAAAGAATGGCTAAAGGGTCAAATAGGTACATGAACTAACTAAAAATGTTCAATTAGCCCCTTATATAGGAGGTTCTGCCCGCCCGTCGCCAATTAGAGCGGTTCCCGGTGGAATTTTTTGATGAAAGTTTTTGAGAATTTTCTTCAATAGGTCTAGTTTACCCATACCAAATTTCAGCTAAAAATTCAACCGGGAAGACAGTCAAATGATTTTTTTTTAAGATAACTGCTCAGTTAAACAGCCAACACATTTCAAAAAATCATTTGTCTGCCTTCTCGATTTTATTTTTAGCTGAAATTTGGTATGGGTAAACTAGACTTAATGAAGAAGATGCTCAAACAATTTCATCAAAAAATTCTACCGGGAACCGCCCCAATTGGTGACGGCCAGGTAGAACCTTCTATATAATGGGCTAATTGAACACTTTAAGTTAGTTCATGTACCTATTTGACCCTTTAGCCTCTAAAGAATACATAATTAATGTATGAAATACAGAGATTTTTTATTAATCCTAACTGAACGTATTTGTTTTATATAATTCATATGTGTATTATGACACTCTTAATGTATTAATTAATCAATCCTTCAATCATCTGATATAACAATGAAAAGTATACAAAAATCATTATATTGTTAAAACAAGTCACACATGCTAGTATATTAACTATATTAAATATCATATATGTAGGTGCTCAGTGTATTGAAATAATATACTTTGATACTTAATGTGCCCATTAGATATTTTGAATAACATGATTTGTAAATATTTAATTTGGTGACTGTAAATAGAATTATCAATAAACAAATTGTGTAGAATCATTATAAACTTATGATGTTATTTTAGTGTATTAATTAATGTGAAGGGTCAAATTATTTTTCGATGATTTTTTTTAATCTAAAATTAGTTGACGGTTCATTGTCCAAAAACAGTTTGATTCCTGACTAATTTAATCTGGATCCGCTATGTGGCATATGCTAGTATTTTAACCCTTACCATTTTATTATTTACTCAGATATACCTCCATAGTAATTATTGATTGAAATACTCTATTTATTTTTAATAATAGTGTTTTTAGTCTCTGAAATAGTCACCATATTGAAATGTCATACTTGTATTCCCATGTTTGTAAATGTCACTCCTCAATTGTTCAAATTGGTGTAAATGTGGATCTTTAAGAGGTGAAATGTACCTGTCGCTCACATTATACATTTTGAGGCCGTTTGGCAACATCTTTTTTCGGCTTATTAGGCTTATCAGCCAACTTTTTCACCAAACACGTAACTTTACTTTCGCGCGCTGAATTGTGTAATAAGCAGAAAAAGTAAGGTTAGAGTTACTTTTCTGGCTGTATTGGCTGAAGTTACTGTAAATGACCATTTTAGCTATTTTTACATATAATTTTTCCTTTATTTTATTAATAAAATATATTTTAAAAATAATTTTTACTTAAATCAGCAGAAACAGTCAAAGCAGCCACTTCAGCCAGAACTTCATAAATTTCAGCAAAATCACCCAAAACAGCCGATTCTCGTGCTACCAAACAGGCTCTTTATTCATCAAAGGACCACATTTACAACATTTGGACAATCGAAGGGTGACATTAACAAACTTGGGAACACGGGTCTGACATTTCAATATGGTGACTATTTGAGAGACTAAAAGTGTGATTTCCCCTAGTCAGTGGCAGACCGAGCATGGGGGCAAATGGGGGCAGCTGTCCCCCCAAAATTTTATTTTCCTAGGTATATTTACCCCGAAATAATATATATATATATATATTATATATGTGTGTGTGTGTGTATGTATTTGTATGTATAATTTTACACTGCCGCCTCTCCTAGCGGAAATTCCTGTGTCCGCCGCTGCCCCTAGTGTTTTTTAAAAATAGGGAAAATCGCAGTTTTGGCCCTCCAATTAGTAACCATATTGAAATCTCAATTCTGCATTTTTGCTTTCTTTAAATGTCACCCCTGCCGTTAACAATCTACCAAACTCCGTGTGGCTTTCCATTTTTTCAGGGTAAACATGTAACTTTGCATCATTATACGTTTAAATCCATAATTAAATTGAGTGTAAACCAAACATTCTTTGTATAATTCAAGTGAGGTACATTCCATTTGCTTGGGAAGCTCACTTCCCTTCGTCCGTTCTTCAGCCGTTTGAATTTTTCAAGAGGTGCCACCATAATTGTCATATGATTTAGGATTCTTCGTCTTCAGCTTCAATTTGACCTTCAAATGGAAATCTTGGCTTCAATATAGCTTCAATATTCGAACGCCATGTCCAACAGAAAGTTAGCGGAAAAGAGTTCAGATCAAAGGGTTAAGCAAAGCATTTCAATTTGAACTGATAAGCGTAATAAAAGGGTGAACAATATCTCGATTTAGGGATTTAAACATACAAGGATGCAAAGTTACATGTTTACCTGAAAAAATGGAAAGCCACACAGAATTTGTACGATTTTTAACACCAAGGGTGACATCTAAAACAATTCTGACAAATCGGGGGTGACATTTTAAAAAGCAAAAACACGGGTCTGGGATTTCAACATGGTGACTAATTGGGGGACCAGAATTGCAATTTTCCCTTAAAAGTATTATCAAAATAATTTTTTTTCTACAAAAATATGAGTAAGAATGTTTTTACTTGGATTATTTTCAATTTCAGACTAGATCAGACTTAGATAGTTATAAAATACAGAGAGACCAGACATTTACCAGATCGACTAGATCAGACCAGGAAATTTTCGTCCGAGTAACAACATCCTAATAAGTAGTAGTTACTACTTATTACATACGAAGTATAAAATAGCTTCTTGTTCATTTAAATGTAAAAATTGAAAATCAATTAATATCACTAAAGAGAGAATTCCCTAAATAGGAGTAAAACGTTTTGAAATTCCAAAATAGGGGTATCATGTTTTTTATTCCCTAAATAGGAGTAAATTTCTGCCAAGTTTGGCATTACAAGGCTTTAAACATGACATTTTTTCTCAAACTTGGCAGATTACTCCTATACATGGAATAAAAAACATGATACTCCTATTTTGGAATTTCAAAACGTTTTTACTCCTATTTAGCGCAATTTCTGCTATCACTAAATTACTATTATAACCACTACATATAAGAAATCGTGTTTTTGTAAATAACTTCTATTTTTATCATAAGTATGTACCAATTTTTTTACTACTATTATTATTACTACTACTACTACTACTACTACAATTTCAAAAAAAATTATTACTATTATTATTATTATTATTGTTATGATTATTTTTATTATTGTTATTATTATTATTATGAGCACGATTGGTGAGTTTTTTTCCGACTTATCAGGCTTATCAGCCAACTATTTGATCAAACACGTAATTTTTTGTTTTGCACTCACTTTTGGAGTTACTTTTTTGGCTGTTTTGGCTGAAGTTACTGTAGAGGATCATTTTAGTTATTTTTCATATAATTTTTTCATTATCTTATTAATAAAATATATTTAAATTTTTTTCATAAATCAACAGAATCAGTCAATACAACAATTTTAACCAGAATTTCTTAAATTTTAGCAGAATCAACAGATTGGGCCGATTTCACTGTTAGTACACGGGCTCTCTAACCGATTTGGCCATTCAATTCCGGATTTCCGGTGAAACAATAAACATGATAGACGGATTATTCACCATCTTATGCTTCAATGTGATCACCATTATAGTAGGTGTGCGGGTGTGACATTATTTTTAAACCATAACAATACTCATAGCTGCATTTCGATCGGTAGCCATTGCAATACACATATACGTATATCATCATACATATATCATGTCAATATTAATTGGTCCTGACCTTTCAATTGGGGGCAATACAAATTCAAAAATACACTAGAAGAGAAATACAATACCAAACAATCCATACAAAAAAAATTGCATATTTGCATTTAACAGTATATCATAATTGCGGGCTGATTTGTACAAAAGTTGGTCCATGTCTAAAATGCATAAATGATAGTACCATACAATGTATGTATTGTTGCACTTTGGCACTTATTTTTAAATGATACAAATAGTACCCTAAATATATATAAATACATCAATCGGTAATATTATTCAAATTTCTGATAAAAAAATCCTACTTGCCAACGCAAAAAACATGATTCAATTAAAGTTGAACACTGAGGACATTAGGTTCTGAAAAAACGTTTCAATCACTGTAATCATTATTTAGAATTATAATTTTGATACCATTATTGTTCATAATGGTTGACATACCAACAAAAATTTGTTTTATGTTGAAGAAACAAAATTAAATACTCCGTAGTAATAATTTTTCCAATAAAATATGTGCGAAGAATTTCCAACAGTATTCAAGTATAGGTTTTCCATTCTGACGGGAAAGATAGTGAAGGCTAGTCGTATTTCGGACGACGATCTGGAAGAAGAAGGCATTCTTTGGAGGATCTTCAATAGTTCAATGCGATTAAGAATGGCGTTGTT